ATGAAGAGCATGCTCCTGGCTTGCCTGGGAATCATGTGCCTAAGCTTCCCCATGATCAGAACCTCAGACTGGGCCAAGTGCCTGGAGGACGTGGTGTCCCCAGTGTCTATAGTGAGGGCTGCATTAGTCATTTTCTTAGTTCAGGCAAGCATGACTGTCCCTGGTGGCCAGGTGAGCATTAGGAGTCCTGGGCACGCCTGGGGGTGGGGACCCTGCTGAGGAGACACATGGATGTGTGCTGACACCCAGCAGGGCCATGTCTGCTGTCAGAGGTTTCAAGGCTCCTCAGGAGACCACTGGGCTCCTGGCTCTGGGTCTGAACAGAGCTCGCGGTCCCAGCCATTTTTGCACAGACGCCCATTCTGCATCTGGATCTCCTGGAGCCTCTTCCAGGGCCACAGCCCCATTATGGTCGCTAGCACCACACCGGCCTTGTGCCCTGAACCCACCCAGCCACGTCCACTCCTGGCAGAGGGACAGAGCAAGACATGGAGGGAGGCCCAAGACCAGAGGGTGGACAAGGGAGAGATACCAGAAAGGGCCATCCTACCCCATCGAGGGGAGGGCAGGGGCACTGGGCACCCTCTGATATGGTCCCTTTCCCAAGACCCTATTGGGAATGTCATGGGTTGTGGGGCACTTGCAGCTGCCCAGCGCTCTGCCAGGCCCCTACCATGCCAGTTCTGGAGTCAGCCCAGTACTCTTTCAAGCTGGGAGTGACAGTGACCCTGTTTGTTTGCTGATGGCAAAACAGTCCTGAGAGGCCAGCAAAGTCACAGAGGCCACCCAGAGAGCAAATGGCAACACCCAGGGCCATCTAAAGTAACCCCCTTCATCCTGAGCAGAGCTGGGAGCCCATAAGTAGGCCCTTTGGGTGTGGGCTCCCTTCCCACTCCTGGGTCCCTCCCATGTGACTTTGTCCCTCTGACCGTCCTCCTGGAGACCCGAGTGTGGCTGTTTTCTTCAAGACCGTTTCTCCCTACGCACATACACAGAATGACCCAAGAAGACTCAGTCTAGTTTCTTAATCTTGAGTCAAACCCTGGCTTCCATCCAAGGTCCTGATTCTCTTCCTTTGTTGCTTTATCCCAGGGAAGCCCTTTAGCTCACCGACTGGTCCGCCAGGAAATCGGGCCAACAGTGGCCAACTTTACCCTCCCCCACTGCACGTGATGCACGGTCAAAGAGCTGTGTCCCAGTGCACATACCCTGCGTGTCCCCCACACAACGCCCTGTGCACAGCGTCTCCTTTCCTCCTCACAGCCACCCGGCAGGGACCATACCTGCCCGTGACAGAGCTTCCTGAGGCCAGACACTGTTCTAAGTGTTTAATACAACTAACTCTTTCATCCCCCCACAATTCCATGGGGAGAAAGCCGAGGCCCCGCACAGTTAAGTCTCCTGCCCAGAAGCCCTAGGGCCAGCATCAGGAGCTGACGCCTCACTGCCAGCCTGGCTCCTTCTCTTCTAGCTAGGTGGTCACTCTCTGCATGTCACAGCTGTGGAAACTGAGTGCCTGAATTTTCATGATGGACTCAATGTGACGGGGCTGTGGAGAGGTGCGGCAGGGCAGGTGATGACCCCCGGAAGGTTCACGTACAAGTCTAGGCTCCAACACCCATATCATGCTGCCAGGGTCATAGGGGAATATCTGGGCTCTGTCCACAGAGTCTACAGAGTCCATCTGTCCACAGCACAGTGTGTTATATATGCAAACAATTGTGAATGTCACTGTTATTTTGATAGTATGCTGATAACAGACCTCCTTCTAAATATGAGCTCATGTATGTTTGCTGGGAAAGTGTTCTTCCATGGAACAATTAGAACCTGGGTACAGATCGGCCTCATGATGTATTCATGCCAAGGAGCTCCTGAGTCCTCTGTCCTTGCCCATGGCACGGAGGGAGCTCCATCAGGGAGGGGGGTGTGACAAAGCTGGGACATAGTTTCCCCTCTCCAGGAAGACTGAACTTGATAGCTGTCTGTCAAGCCAGTGAACTTTGAGAAGATCTCAGATCATAACCTTGGGATTGTGATGCAGCTGGCTCTCCTGTGCTCTGCAACCGTCTCCTCCCCCTGACCCGAAACTCAAACACACACACACACACACACACACACAGAGGCAACCCAAGCATGTGCACGGACATGCTGACACATGCACACATTCCCCATGAAGTAGCAGGAAACGAGGTAATGGAGCCCATGCCCCAAAGCATGAAGATTTGGGCTAGCAGTGACCCATTTGCCAGTGGATCCAAGATTAGTCCCTTCACTGTGCAGCACTGAACTGATGTAAACAGTAATTGGTCACTGCCTTAGGTCATCAAATGGTAGGAAGGCA